TTGAATTCCGCGTTAAAACGAATAAGATAAGAGCCGATTATGAAAACTAGGGAAAATAAAATGTCTTTAATTAACAACCCTTAGATCTGAATTTTCTGGACCCACTTAGAACTAAAGGTCCAGATTTAATTACTCATATGTGAGTAACCTATCCTAAGCCGAGTCTAGTGGATGAGTGGCAACGCGGCAATGCCGACTAGTGGGGGATAAGAGAAAAAAGAAATATTAAATAAGTTAGCGGAAAATATAAACTGATATAATGAAACTTAAAATATAATGATCAATTATCTTAAAATAAAGATTTATTATAAGTATACTAGTAATAAAATTAAACTGATAAAATATTCAACCTCTTTTCATCATTTCTCTTTTCTATTTAAATTGTACTACTCCTGTTATGTACTATTTTGCAATCAACTGCATTGTAACTATAAGGAATTAATTAAAAATAATATAATAATAACGCTCTTTTCACGCTCTTAATATTAAATTCTTCTAACATAGACGCTTTCGCGCTCTTGCTCCACTTTGTGGTTACCTAAGTCCTAACTCTAACGGCCTACTAATAATGATACTGACTCTACAAGACTTGGACTCAAACTCTGCCTACTATATTCTACCCGAACCCGACTCGTCATACAATACAATTATACAAAGAAGACTCCTAGCAATCTACTAACCCTCGTAAAAACATAAATTCCATTAACTACTAATCCATGCTTGTTAATTACTAGCCGAAAGACACAATAACATAATAACCCAACACGTAATAACCAACGAGCATTCATACGTAGATATGGCTAGGCCCAATTAACTTTGGCCAAACCCTTCTTCCATCACATTCTTCCTCGTCGCCATTCTTCTGCGATGGGTCTAATCATCAGCTGTGTGAACATCTTTGGTAAGACGAAGGATTTTTTTTTATTGGACTGCTTTTTTTACCAATAAGCTGCAGTTAGATTCTGAGACTTGTCTTCACTACTTCATTGACATATTGCAGATGCAAAGCGTGTGTCCGAGCTGATTGCTGACCACGTCGAGTCGAGCACGGAGCATAAGAATATTCTGAGATATGCATTGGATTCTAAGCTCCCATCGTAAGTTGGAATCTTCCATTTATCAGTCCTTGGTAGGAGTAATAGACAAGATTAAGATCCAAGTGCGTTGAACTACGTACTGATCAAGTTAGGGTTTTTATATTTACAACAGTACGGAGGTTTTGTTTCAAGATGCTGATCAGAAGAAAAATATCGGGACACGGAAGGATTGTAGACGATTCGTCAGGAAATCGAGGGTGCCTGATGCGATGTCCGACCTCTACATTGACCACATGAACAAGAGCTCCATGCATGCCGGTAGTGCTTCCTTCAAAAAGTTCATGTAAGGTTGGTAAACATTTCGTATAAATTCGGCCACTACAGGAGTATGTAGTTCATGTAAGGTTGGTAACTTTGATGTGTACGTGTTTAATCAATGTCCAGATAGATATCGAGAATCAAGGAGATGCGGACAGCGACGATGATGCTTCCTTGATCGATCGAGTAAGAAAGCATTTGTCGAACATGTCGTACCTACCACAGGTTGACATTGATGTCAACAAATGTGAACTTGTAAGTTATCAGAGGTTAGTTTCTGTGAAGATGACATGCATATGTACGTGTATGAGTTTAATTATATGTACAATACTTCATATATCTGTTATGGCAGCGCAGTTGTCATAAACATCAACAAGGCACGCTTCGAGTATCTGGACAGCGGCTGCAGCGATAAAAGAGCAGCATTTTCGGACGTGTATACCTTATGCAAGAGAACCGTGAAGTATGTAACTACGTACATCAATGCGATACGACGACCGGACGACAGAATAGACTTCTCAGGGTTCAGGTGGAGTTTCCCGGCAGTCCCCTGTCAGCCCCTCGACTCCAGAGCCTGCGTGGTGTACATGTTGCGGTTCGTGGAGGAGTGGGAAGGCAGTGGAACGGACTTGTGCAAGTTTGAAGGTTGGGGAAAGAGGTACTGGCATGTTAAGCAGAGGGTAAAGATATGCGCGTCGATTTTGACTCAAGACTGTAATGTTATTCTTGGTCATGTCGAACGGAGGGCGCAACAGAGAGAGACAACTGGGAAACGAAGGTAAGAATTCACAGAACAAATCTGGGACTTGGCCCTGTCACTTTCTGTCATGGGCACGACGGCAATAGACAACGGTTTAAGATAGGGTGCATAACTATGAGTAATTAAATCTGGACCATTCTTTAAATGGATGCAGAATTTGTTTTTTTTTTTTACAAAAGATAGTCATATATTGATTCACAAAATAGATAGTTACATCCTAAAATTCAGCCAGGTCTGAAAAATAAAAGAAACGACTGGTAGTCGGGTACAAAGAAAGGGCATTTTTATCCACCACATCGGCTACCCTATTACTACGCCGACCTACAAATCTAATACTAAACCCAGCGTGGATGGCAAAGTAATGCACAACTTCTTGAAGAACAGCCCTCATCCGATTGTCGCTGGTATCTGTCTGATTAATCTTATCAATGATCACTTTGGCATCTCCTTCAAACCTTATTTCCGTGAACCCGGGGCCAAGACGCCATAAAATAGCCTCCCGGAGCACAAGCAACTCGACCACCAAAGGGTCATCAATAAAGGGAAATGAACCCCGTTAATCATAAGGATATCCCTATTTGGGTTCATGAGAGCCATCCCGCCTGCCGAATGAGACCCACACCTAGTAGCCCCATCCCACATACAAACAACCATATTAGCCCCCATAGGACTCAGGTGTTGTACCAAAGGGGCAGAGGCCCGCGGTGCACGATCAACTGGCAAACAAACCCACTCCTCATATTGCTGATGAAACTGCCGCATCAAAGCAGGGATCCCAAACTGATTACCTTCAAATACAACCCAATTACGAGACCGCCATATTCGCCAGAGGATGACAACCACCATGAACAAGTGGCTACAGATCTAAGAGTTGAGAATTAAAGAAATTTATTTTGCCTAGTTTTCTTAATTGGATCATATCTTCTTCATTCTAACTTAAATTTCAATTTTTTTTTTGCACAGATGGAACGAGTTCGTTGTGCTATACAAAATTATATCAATTTTCAATATTTTTTTAGAAAACAAAATTTCATACCTCTCGTTACCAATTCCATACCATATGGTACCTCCTTCGTTTATTAGTCGTTTTTGGAAATTTTGTATAGAAGGAACGATTTAATCATGATCTATTGGATTTCAAAATTTTCTGGGTCAAAAAATTTCATACCTCTCGTTACCAGTGGCGTAGCCAGGATTTTGGGTAAGGGGGTGCCAATTTAAAAAAATTAAAATGACTATCAAGTTTATATAGTGACCCACGACGATTTTTCATATTTTGAAAAGTCTGTAAAATACTTTCATCATTTAGACTATCAACAATGTCACTCTCAATGTATCCTGCCAAAAAATCATTCATGAGATCATCGCTCATTCGACTACGAAGAGTGTTCTTCACGTAGTTCATTGCCGAAAATACTCTTTCAACACTTGCAGTGGCGACTGGTAGAAGCAATGATAACTTCACAAGAAGATACATAGATGGAAATCCCAAATGAAGGGCGGGACTGGGTCTGGGAGAAGTCTTGCTTGTTAGGGGCTGAAGTTCCGATTATTGCTTGAATAAGGATACAATTATGTATTTTTTAAATTTGATTTATTTATTATTTGTAAACGGTAGATTAATTATATACATGCAATAAAACGTATTGGTGTATCATGTAAGTAATTGTGGTTTAATGGAAGACCCCAAAATTAATAATAAGAAGGTTTCATGTTCAAATCCTAGTTATAGCATAAACTAATACACCTATTTTTTGTTGTCCTAGTTCTAATCCAAGGGTGTGCCATGGCACACCTTAATTATAAGCTATCTCCGCCCCTGCTCGTTACCAACTTTATATACCATATTATACCACCCTGATATGAGGTGGTATTTTTCATATTATATTATTTGCTCTTATTTAATACCATTCAATACCAATTTAGGATGGTTGGGCAGCTTTACATAGCTGGGCCCACACTTAGCAGTTTGTCTGAGTGCCGCGTACTTTGGTGAATAATAGTTGGGTGTGAGGCGTTCATCCAGTGTTTGGTTACCATCTGTCTAGTTTTATAAATACATTACAATCCCAAAGGATTGGAGTTTCGTGAGTTCGTGAGTTGTGGCAAGAGGAACTGGCACATTAAGCAGAGGGTGGAGCTATGCGCGTCGATTTTGACTCTCGACTGTAATGTCATTTTTGACGAGGTAGATCAAAGGGCGCAACAGAGAGAAACAACTTGAAAACGAAGGTAAGAATTGGAGAACAAATCAGGGACTTGGTCCAGTTATAGTGTCACCATCTAGTGTCAAGAAAGAATCAAGAGATAGACGTGACATAAAGTTTAACGTGGTTTCCTTGAATATCAGGACTAGTTCACGTGAGAGTCTAAATCTTTCAAAGTTAATCGTATTAGTTACAGAAGTAGGTTTACATGAACCTATATATAGAGGTTAATTACGTACAAACTCTAATGACTAAGGCTTGTATATTTACATAATGGTACCTTAACGTTAACATCTAGATCTCTAATGTCTGTGATCGATTCATCAGATCAAACGTTCTGCATGTAATTGACTTCTAGTCGTTTTAGTTTAGTATCATTTTCAACGTTATTTTGATTTTGTTGGAAATTAAAAAACTAGTTTATTTCCTTTGGGTAATGGTGGGCACGTTTATGGATAGGAGATTAAACGTTTGGTGTTTGGAAAGGGGAGAGAGAGACTTTTTTTTTTTTTTTTTTTGCCATAGATAGAACGTAAATAGATAGTGTAGACACCTCATTTTGTCCGGGTAAATTATCCAACTAAAAATTCTAAACTTAAACCGTGAAATATCGTAAGATAGATCGGCCATTGCAAATCTAAAATATCAACAATTGTACATTTTATTCGAATTCGATTCCGGTGGATCTAATAGGATCTATTGGCTTCCCATCTCGGCTTTTGGCACAACACAAGTATAATAATAATAAAGAAGAATTTATTATTAAAATTATTACTTAATTACAATTACAAACATAATACAAATTACAAATAAGAAAATTACAATCAATACTTGTTTCTTCCATCTCTTTTGAAGCCAACCATGGACCTGCAACAAAGGGAATCGGGGTCAGTTCAAGCCCATATCAAGCCTAAAATCCAAGTTCAAACATAAGCCTCTGTACTGTAATCAGTAGAACCAGGTTCATATTCCAGTTCTAATGATACATCATCCCTTTACTACTCTTTTATTCTCTTCTCCTACTCGTCCTTTTTTGTCAAACTAACTCTATATTATTGTTATTACCACTGTTACTATCATCCATCATAATCATAATCATCATCATCTAAACGTCACAATTTCTACATAAGAGTGATCGAAAACTAATCAAAACCCAGATTTACTCTACTAACTTGTCCATCTCATTCAGCTTTATTTTACTTTCAGTTCCAGTATTTACTTATTTCAAACACAGTTACTTCATTAATTACATTCCCTTCAATAGCCGACTTTATACTTGTGAGTTAGACTTCTTATTACATAGTATTATTGCTACCAATTATGCTATTTACTTTTCGTCAGTTTACAATTCCTTTATTTATGTCTTATTTCAATCCCTTTGTTTTCTAGAACTAGAATGGAGCTGATATCACCAAAAACAGCATCGTCATTTTTCCTAAATACCCCAAAAAAAAAGCACATCCATTTCAACAAAGTCATATTAACACAAAATCCCCAGGTTCAAAATCATCACAAACATCTTTCCAAGACACCAGATCTGCGAACCATACTCCAATCCACAAACAACATAATTCTTTTTTCCAGTTTAACCTCCCCAGCCGTAGTAAACCGAATTTAGGAGAAACCCGAAATCCCTCTAAAACCCACATAAAACCACAAAAATACTCACAGCAAAAAAGGGTCGACAGTCGACTTTTCCCCTCTCGCACAAATATCGGAGAAGCTCGCTGGCCGGAGTCTTCTTTCTCCCCTCGATCAAACCCAAAAATAAAAATGGGGAGAAGGTTAGAAACATGCTCGCACACCAAAAACCCAGAAAATCGAACATGCAAAACCATAATCCGCCACTTACCATCGATCTAGTCACCGCCGACTTCCTCCTCTTCTTCTTCCCTCGTTCGCCATTAAACCCAGAAATCAAAAGAAAGACAAAAAGGGGCTAGAACCCTAAAAACAACCAGCTCACAATCGCACAAAAAAGTTAACATGCAACCAAAAACTGACCGCTGAACCCTGCTTCACCGTCGTCATCGTCACCGCCGTGATATAGAAGAGCGAGGGAGAGAGAAATCGGAGTGAATCGGTGCTTCTTTTTCGTTTTTTGCTCGATTTCCAGAAAATACGAAAGATAAGAGGTGTTGGATCTCGAGGGTTTCGTTTTCCTTTTTTTCGGGTGTCGATCGGATTTCCAGGAGAAGGGAAAGAAAGAAACGAAAGAAAAGAGAAGATGGGGGCGCCGCTTAGGGTTTCAAATTCAAGGGGATTAGGGTTTTTGTTAGTCAATCTCGGTTATATACCTCTGGCCTCCACCTAATTGACTAATCTGCCCTTTCTTTTACAAAAATTACGATCGATGCCACCGCCCCTTCTCCTTAAACCGACCAAAAAACAAAAACCTTCCAGTGGTTTCGAAACCACGACCTCCAGCTCTCACCTTCTCACCAATCAACATAACAAACCAGTGAGCTACATTACAATTCATGAACCATGGGCCCCTCGTCTAGTTTTATTCCTTATCATGCTTAATACGTAATCAATTATACGTATTAGAAATTTTGATCTAGTTAGATCGTCATTGTTTTCATATATCAAAATCTTCTAAATATCTTTTTCAATACGTCATTACGCATTTGTATATTTTTTTCTAAAGATTCAATAAATGAAATCATGGTTAATAGATCATGATGATTTTTATAGTACAATCTTTCCATAATCATTAATCAATTGATTCTAACTAACTAAAAACTTCTACTTTTCATTTATCAAGATGTACATCAATAGACGTAAAATCTCATTGTGTGCCAATAGTATACGAAATTTATTTCAACTCAATACTCCAATAGGACTTTAAGTTAAATAATTAACAATTTAAACACCCAACCCTTAAAAAATTGTCGATTTAAGTAGTATCCATTTGGGGCGTTGTGGGGGCGTGAATACACTTCCCCACACGTAACCGTACTCCCGAACCCAAATCTTAAAATTTCGCATACCAAATCCCGGTTTCGATCCTAAGGTCGAGACCGGGCCAAAGGTGTTCGATCCACCAATATTTGATCGATGGCGACTCCGAGCAATTCGCGACGGATCCCCCGATCCCGAGGGGCGGTTGCGACAGTGGCGACTCCGCTGGGGAACTTTTGAGAGTCGAGCTACATAACTAAATCGATAAGTTTATCTTACCTTCTTTTGGGTGTTTATTTTATTATTTGAGCATTTACACTTCGCGTATTAACATTTTTTGCATTCATGCATAAAGCTCTATACCCGAGCTCTCCCTTAAGAAACTGAAAGAAGTAACGTGACTTCTACAATAGTAGGGGAATAACGTGAAACTTTCTAACCAAGTTGAACTCAAATCCGAGGTTGATTTGAGGTATCTAACCAAACTCGTAAGGATTTTTGGTCGGGTACAACTTGGGAGCCAATTCCTAGAAACTCCTTACCCAGCATATAGTCAGCATAGCAGCCGCCTACAGCTATCCAAAATTTATCCTGGAGCCTACCCTTAACCTCATCTAAAAGCCTCTAAAAACCCTAGATTTCCTAAATACGTTGATTTTATTATGATAATAATGTTTGCTTATGATGTGATTATTTAACCTTTATTTGATGTAATTTGATTGTGTGCATAAAAACTTTTCATAATTCATGGCATTAAGATTCTCACATTCAAAACAAATCATAAGAAGTGCACATGCATACAGAGAAAATCATCTTTGCATTTATGCTTCCATTATCATTTAGCATAAGCATTACATACATCATATGAATCAACAAAACTATTTTACAAAGTGAATTGGCAAGGGTTCCTTAAAATTGCTCACTTACAAGGAAGAAGTCAACCTTTAAATACTAGATCCAAGGGCGTGTTCTTTATTGGAGTCATTCCGGAAGAAATTGGGCAACAACAGAAGAAGGTCCACAAATAAAGAGAAGTTTAAATGTCTCCGAGGATTTTGTCGAAATCCAAAGAGAAAAAACCAAGCTGCCAAGACATCAACCACTACCCAATCGTCAAAACCCGTATGCAAGCCACAAAGCGAACCTTGAGTCATGATTGATGACATTTTCCCATGTTGAGAGTTATATCACATTTTTCTGCATTGTGAGGAATAAAGGATTGTTCACATTTCTATTTGTTTGGAACATTTAGTGACTATTATTAATCTTGATTTAAGAGTTTGCATTAATGATTCTTCTTTTCTAAATGATTAAAGTCTTTTAAACCAACTTGTTTCCCTAAAAATCATAAATCCATTTCATGTTTTAAGTTAAGCCATGAGATTGCCAAGCAAATATGGGCACCCCACTAGTGTCGAGCGATCATAAACACCCCACTGGTATTGAGAGCGTGCACACTTTGCTAGAGTTGAGAGTACAAACACCCCACTGGTCTCCACAAATAATGAGAGTCAATAGCTAAAGGGTGTAATGAGAATATGACATAAGTCTACTTGTAGAATCATGTCACTACCATAGCCAACTTTTTGCTTGCAACATATTCAAGCAGAAAAGCATTCAAATAAGTACAACAAGAAGACGACATCATAAGTTTTGCCTCTTCAGGAAAGAAGTAACCGATCAACCTAGCCAACAAGAAAGGACACTCACATTATCAATCACCAAGACAAACTTTCCACATTTTGATGCTCGTGCTCAGAAATACCAATACCCGAACAAGGAAGAGAGAAACATATCTGTTGCATAACCAAGCTAAGTAAGTCCCACGACAAAAAAAAAAAGCAAAGAAAAAGAAAAATTATTGTGGGACTTACATGTTAGAGCCCCCTTCATTAAAATGTTTGCCGGCTAATACCTACAGAAAACCTTAAGCAAAGAACCTATGTGATGAGACTTCCCATAACCAAACTCGCATTCACAAAGACCTCATTTATTCACTACCTAACCCCACCTCCTCAAAACAATATCTCATACAAGGGGGCAATGTAATACGCATTCCCCAACATGTCCAAAAGCCACTACTATTTTTGAGGAAGTAAAACTTCCTCGACAAAAACCATGATAATTGCAATTAGGATCACTCTGGTCCATCATTTAACCTAATACTTCGGGGGCAAACCAAGATCCCTTTATAAGAAACTTCAAAGGACCAAAATCAGACTTCGTAAGAATCCCCTCATTTGAAAAATCATTACCCCGAACATATTTGACCATCAACATAAAAGAAGGCCTCTCATAGTGACCCGAATCTTAATGGTAGCTGAAATGTCATATATTCAAAGCACCCCTAGGGATGAGTGAGAGTGAAATCAAGCGTGATATCGAAAGTGAGAGTAGAGTTAGTGCTTATGGATATTCTCATGGCTCGACTTGCTCTCTTCTCATTGCAAAATGCAAAAAAAAAAAAAAAAAAAAGTTTTAGCAACATGAAATAACCACACAAAATTATCCATATCTTACACACTTCTCTCGATTGAAAATTTTAACACCAGGTCCCCATGATACTTTTCCAACCACATTTGTCATACATTTTTGCACTCATCTTGATTTAAGGTTGATAAAGTCACTCTTCGTTCCATAGAATAGAAAGTGAACAACAGTCCTTTGGGCGCAATAATGAAGGAGAAGCATTCTGAAGTGCTCGCAAGCCAAAGTACCCAACTTTTCTAATCACCGGTTCAGAAATCTCAAAGAACTTGAGAACATTATTGATTTCATTCAACCAACCAATCAATTATCCTTCCACGACAGAAGGAGCACAATACACTACAGAAATCGAAGGATCCTGTCTTGGACACCAAGAAGCCGAAGAGAGGAACGACTAAGAGCTCACGCTATTGACCACAAATAAGGATCCGGTCTACAAAAGGCAATGATTCAATTCTTGTGGGCGTTCAATTTAAAGGAGCCCAAGTCAATGAAAACAAAATATTTTCAAAATAATTGAAAATGTATCATATCCTCTATTTGCACATTCACGACATTATCATTCATTAGCATTGACTCATCACACAAACATTTCCAACATCATTTTTATACTCAGTACCTGACATATCATACATCAAAGTGAATTGTTATTCATCACAAAAACCTCTCAAACATTTACTAAATGTATTTTAAAACTTTTCATGCGAAATTCAAATACACATTTTCATTAATGATTAGCTTGATTTTATCACAGTTATTATTCTCATTGTTTGATTTAATTTCTATCACAAACAATTTGAGTACAACGTCCTAACAAAATGATTAGTTTGATTTTACCACTGTCATTTTTCTCATTGTTCGATTGATTTCTATCATAGACAATTTGAGTACAACCTCCTTACATAATGATTAGCTTGATTTCATCGTTGTCATTTTTCTCATTGTTTCGATTGATTTCTATCACAAACAATTTGAGTACAATGTCGTTACAAAATTATTAGCTTGATTTCTATCACAAACAATTGTTCGTGTTTCTTTACTGGGAAATCAACTAATCCTTCTTCAGCTTCCCACCCAGGAAACATGTGATTGGATCTTGGAGAGCGGGCCTTGGTTCCATTCGGACAATATGCTATATCTTCGACCTTGGACCTCGGGGATTGATGTTGAAGATTTGGGGAATAAGGCTCTGCCTATCTGGGTGAGATTCACAAATGTGTCGTTGGAGTATGTAAATTTTCAGGGTATGAGTCGGTTGGGGAGTTTCCTAGGGATCCCACTGGGAGTTGATCATACTACGAGGATGGGTGGTCGACTTGGCTGCGCGAAGGCTCTTGTTGAGTTGAAGGCTTCAGGTCAATTTCCTGATCATGTTCTGATATGGCCAACTGATGATCGCTCAATTAAGGTGGGTGTGGCTTATAGCCATCTACCCCCTATATGTGGACATTGCCACTCCTTTAGCCTCAAATGTGGATGTGGTAAGAGGGATCATGCTCTAAAGACTAAGGGGACTCAGGGGAATATAGAAGTTGAGCATGTCTGGGTAAGGAAAGAGGTTGGGATCGCTGTAGCACAGACTAATCCTAGTCATGACCAGAATGGTAGTCCAATCATGGAGGATAAAGGGAAGAGTGTGGTATCTGCAGATTCTTTATAGCGCACTAGTCTTATGGTTGGTTCAAACTGTGTGGGCATTAATTTGGAACATTCTTTTCAGTCAGTTGCAGAGTGCAGTTCACCAAAGCTTCCCATGGAGGATGAATTTCAAAAAGTGGTGAATGGAGCAAGGCCTAGGTGTTGGTCTCCACTTCCTAGTCCCACCAGTGTATTGCAGACCACTCAAACGTTTGCTGCATTGCAGGGGT